AACCAGTGAACACAGTAAATTGTATTATGAACATATTCAGCTAATTACCAATTTTCGGCCAGTCCCAAGTGCAGTGAGGTCAGCTGTTGCTGGCCCCTGCTCTGCATTCTGACAGCTCGGCTCAGAGGGGAATGGAGACGTCCTTCTTTGTGTCCGGGTTCTCAAACCGTGGAACTCTCTGCCCCATCATAGATTCAAGGCTTTTGAGGCCTTTTTTCTTTCTTCAATTTAGCCTTCTATTTTGTTCTGGCATGTAATGGTTATTTTACCGTTTTATTCATTATATGTATTACTTTATAAGTACATGTACAACATTCTGTCTTTGTAAAACTTGGGATCAGCCGATTCCGGTCTACTCCATCATTCCAAAGACAAGACTGCTGTGTTGTTGACGTTCCATGGGAGAAGAAGCCTGCAGCAGCCAGGCCCCGCCACTGTGGAACCCCTTGACGTGGTCCATTCGGGATTCTGAGTCTGTGTCACTTTTTAAATTGCGTCTTAAAACTCCCGCATTTTTACTTGCCGGCTTTCCCTGTAACTTAAGATTTTAAAACCAATTCTGTTGTCTGATTGGATTACTCTGCTATTATTACTCCCGCATTTTTCACAGTTCTTTGTATTATTGGAATTTCGAGAGTCATCGTTGATGTGTTGTTATTGTCAGCAGCTTTCTATTTCGCTCAGATTTTATCGATATTTGTGAGTGTATTTTAATTTTGCAGCACTTTGAGATGCTTCAATATGACAGGCGCTTTATAAAAAAGAGGTTATTATTATTTTATCTTAACTTGTATGAAGCGTGTCTTGAACCTTGTGCTATGAAAGATGCTCAATAAATAAAGATTATTTTTATGAATGCAGTCTATCAAGTCGGCGAATGTTTTTTGTCTTGTCTTCGTGCGGACTTGTGAATCTCGTCCCGTCACACTCGGAGCCACTGGCACGCTTGAGGACTTTCGTCCGCTCAGTCATCGTTGACTCAATTCAACAACGCGGAGATATTTCCGTCGCTAATTTCGTGAGTGAGGTTAATTGAAGAAAAAGAGTGCGACGTCAAATAGCTGTCATCGAGACTGTGACACGCCAGATCATGCGCCATGACTATAACTCCACCACGTGATAATTCCAAGTTGACTGTGCAAATGCATAGAGTAGTTATTGTTTTTTTTTATTATTATAGAAATTAAATCCACGTGTGTAATATGGAATAATGTATTGTGTCCACAGTGTACAAGATGATTAGCCATGCTGCTTGCTGGTCTCATTGCCAATGATGCACGTGCAGTCCCTTCAGTTCAGTCAAGCCCTGGTTTCCATCCTGCGCATTGTGTCGCCTCTACCAGACCCTGTCCATTGCGAGTCGCATTTCCCTACCAGCATATAGCTTAAACAATAACTACGTGTGAATTACATTTACACGTAATTAACATCTTTTGACATTGATTCAACGCTTAAAATCAATTGAGTACATATTTACAATTTAATATTAACGTAACGCATATAATCTTACTACCATCTATATGATCGTCATTATTGTTCTCCGGACCTTTGTTGATGTGCTCGCTCTTCTGTATCACAGCTATGACTCTTCGTTCTTTGAATGAGTTTCCACTCGATGATCGATGTGAGACCGTGTGGACGTACGTGCGAGCCTGACTGCACTCTGAGAAGCCGTTATCCACCACGACGGAAACAATAAAACGATGATGTAAAAACCAGTTTCATCTCACAGAGCACATGGTCGTAAACGGCTGTGACATATCGAGTCTCTCGGGCAATAAAAAAAAAGGTCAAGTTCAAACCTCCTACCACACATCTAGAAATAGCGATGTCACGCGGAGCACCGCAACTCTCCGAGTGGAAAGACTTTTGAGAGAGCTGCGTTTTTGACGGGTTTTGCGTTTGATAAAAAAAAACACATGTTAAAAGCGAATTTTTAAAAGGTTCCTTCTGAAAGAAAATGAGTAATAATGTACGCCTAAACTCCACAGTGAGAAAGAAGGGAACACTGCAATGTGCAGTTACCAAGAAAGTTAATCTTTACAGAATCTTGTTTCCTGCAGCAGTTTTTTGGTTCATATAGAATCAACAAGCTTGTCAATACCACTGCCCTAAAAGGAAGAAAAAAACATACGTAACATTGGTGACATTTCAGGCTCGAAACATTACCGATTTGATGTTCCATTTCCTTTTTGGATGTTTATTTCAAGCGCGTTGAGTTTTTGTGTTTTGCGTTTGTGCACCCATTTCCACGGTGCCAAGTCATCAGACAAGTTTGGATCAATTTCCTCCTTAGAACCGCAGGGGGAGCTCACGAGCCGCTGCGTCTCACCGAAAGTGTGGCTAAGGGGGGCGGGGGGAAGCAGTCAGAGGAGTTTGGTGACGGATCGTACAAAGCAATCACCGCCCTCTACTGTGAAGACTTGGAAGGAGCCTCCTGAAAAAAAAGAGTCACGAGACTCAGTGAGGCTTTCCTGGCCTCACTTATTCTCTCCGGTTCCTTTAATTCATTTCTCCTGTCCGATTGTGGCCTCCAAACTTCTGTGAATGCATCTCGCCGTGGCTGCTGCCATCTATTTGGTTGTCTTCCTCTGCTTCTCTCCCATTCTCTGGCTCTCCACTCCGTGGTTCATTTTGTCTCTCGTCGGCTGGTCTCATGTCGCATTCCTGCCTCATTTCCGCTCGATTTATTTTGCTTTGACACAACAGCAGGGTCGGTGAGTGCCGTTATTTTTTTTGTTATTCTTATTATTTCTTCAGTCACTAACTACTTTATAAGAATTCGATTGCGCCGAGTCAGAGAGTCCAACGGTGAGAGAAACGGGGCGTTTGAGGAACAGACGTCGATAGATGGGGAGGGGTGAGGAGGGCTTGCAGAGGCCCCTACGGAGCTGCTGGAGGGAAGCCAAGATAACGTTGGCCAAAGTCGCATGCGGATCCCGGGCAGACAGCCATGTGGGGCGTCTGCCAGGACCCCCCCCCCCCACCACCTCTCCGCTCGCTTTGAGTCTCCGTTCAGTTTCTCAGAGTTTTAACAGAAATCTTTGCTCGTGCAATGCTACCGGCAATTAGTACTGCGAGTACACCTACATTTTCCATCCGGAGCATTATATATATAATTATATATATCGCTCTTCATTGATGCATTAATTTGGATCGAGCCAATGCTTCAGGATGAGCGAGAGGAAGACCAATGCGGCCAAAAGCATCACGTGGAGCGGGGGCTGCTTTTAAAAGACGTGCATCAACTCTCGCCGCTGAAGCATTTTTGGTGGTTGACATATCTGCTAAAGATCTGTAATGTAAACGGTCATTTTTAAACATTTCCTGCCATTAGTATTGGAATTTGATCCCGGTAATTTCCGCACTCTATTGTTATTAGGATGGGGTCGCTGCCCGATTGCTAATTAAACGCATTTGCTGCCTGGGCAAAGTGAGTGAAAGGAGTGCCGACTCCGGAGGGGGGCAGTGGGGGGTGGCTCAGGTGGTAGGGGGCGGCGAGGGATGAGGTCACCTGTCAGCGCTATTTATTGGTGCACTGCGCTTAGGGCCACTGCACGCGTCAGCGCGAAGAGAGGGCCTCTGGGCCATCGTGCATCAGCTGTGTGAAAGATATCGTTCAAATAGAGAAAACTTTCCAAGCCGCAACTATTAAGCCGTTGACATTTCCTACCTTTTACTGGGAGCCACTTATAGGTTTAAGTGTAAACACAGTCTTAAATGTGTCTCTACCAGATGCATCACTTGCAAAGCCCTTTATTCCGTAAGCTCTATTTTGCTTCCCACCCCAAGTATGCGCGTTGCATCACGTCATGAGATGAAGAATCCATTCCGAACTCTCGCAGAGCAGTGCAACCATTTGCGTTCGACAACAGCCCACAGAAGCAGCTATCACGGAGCTACCTCTGATATGCCTTGAGCTGACCCCTGGGACATGCAGCAGAAGCAGCATTTTCCCACCAAATCAGTCACCTAGAGTATCATTTGGCGCATAATAGCAAATCTGACATTTTTTTTATGTTTAGAGAAGCAATTTATCCACGTTTAACACAAAACCAATAGTAACAAATATGTTTTTTTTTATGCGGTCATTTGTGAGCAGACTGAGACCATCAACTTGCTGTACTTGAGAACCCAGTTTAATCACAGGCTTGATTTGAACCCAGAATCTCAGCGATTTCAGCTCAGTGTTCTGACCTCTGAGCCACCAAACCACCTCATGTATCAATTATAAACATTCCTTATGGATATTCATTCACTAAGATGTAAGTAATTGTTATATATTAAAATCATTGAGTTTCAAGATTATTTTTCTTTCCAGGAGAGCCCTGCACTGGGAAGTTTGGACAATTCTGTTTACGATTGTTTGGCTTCAATGTGAGAGGAAGCCGGATACCTGGAGCAAACCCACATACAGCACTGCCGACTCGCTCGGGACTAAGGTATAGGCAGATATGTTACAAGATTGTATATGTGAACGTCTATACAAAATGACACGTTACACCCACAGACCCTCTCCACACACCCTCTCCGCACACTCACTCACCCTACACACCCACCCCACACACCCACCCCACACACCCACGCCACACACTCACCCCCACACACTCACCCCACACACCCTCTCCGCACACTCACTCACCCCACACACCCACCCCACACACCCACCCCACACACCCACGCCACACACTCACCCCCACACACTCACCCCACACACCCTCTCCGCACACTCACTCACCCCACACACCCTCTCCGCACACTCACTCACTCCACACACCCACCCCACACACCCACCCCACACACCCTCTCCGCACACTCACCCCACACATCAACCCCACCCACCCACCCCACCACCCTCTCCGTGCTCAAGGCAGTAGGTGGGATGCAGCACACACGGTCTGCCCAGTGCAAGTGTGTGGGCTGTGCCGCGTGGGTGCCGTGTGCGTGGGTGCGTGGGTGCGCGGGTGCGTGGGTGCGTGGGTGCGTGCGTATTCACCCACCGTCAATGTTGTAGACCAGGTTGCACTGGGACGAGTCGCAGTATCCCTGCGGTCCTGGGGCACCGGCAGGGCCCGGGCTGCCGGGGGACCCGGGGGGGCCCGTTGCCCCGTGAAGGCCTCGGGAGCCGGGGCTGCCCGTGCGCGAGTCCCCGGGGGGGCCTGGGCGACACGCGGGAGGGCATTTCACACGACCATCGACAAGGACCGCACGGCTTGGAGGGAACGAGTTCAGCTACTAACAAGGCCGGAAACCTCTGTAACTGAGGACGGGCAAATAAACACCACCTGGGAACAGGTCCACGGCGGTTTGTTTTATGGTAAAACTGGGTCCTGCCATAGCAATGTGGAGTTTTCTCCACTGGCTCGGGCTCGCCAAAAGAAACTGAGCGGCGCCGGTTTGATCTGTGAGATGTTACATCTGCAGGGGGCTATGAGGTTGGCAGCAGAGGCCAGTGCTGCAAAATTGACAGTTGTGCCGCCTCCAGGTCTCTGTTCTCCACGTTCATCAACCCACACTGACCATCATGGTGAAGTATGGTTAAATAACCCCCAATACCTGCACGGCATGGCGAGGCCTTCATCCAGCATTGCATCGTCAAATGGGGCTGCGCAAGTGCATAGAGCTGACCAACAGCCACTTGCGAATTTGTTTAAAATGTTTAAACAAATTCGTTGAGGGGCAATTTGCGCACGCCGGCGTCATTTGTGCAAGTGGGTGCCACGATGCGTTTGCAAATTGCTCCCAGAATAATTCGTGCCACGTGCGCAGCGTAGCACGGGGTTTCTACCGTGACACCATTGAAAAGAATGGCTCGAGCTGTAACGCCACTGAAGAGCATTCCCGTGCAAGCCGCCCAGGGCTGGACGCTTGCAGAAGAACGTGATGATGATGGTGGCGATAATTGTGATGATGTGCGGCCATCATCGTCATCGCCAGCGTATGATCACACAGAATGACGGTGGTGAAGGAATATCGAACGTAGACTTGACGTTCGCTTCAGTGAATCAACCACGGTCGTTAATTTGCGTTTACTTGTAAGGGGAGGGCAACGTTGCCTTTGTGGGACCACATCCTTGGCTTGTGGTCCCTATCTTGCTTTTTTTGTTGAGGTCCATTTTCCACAACCCCCCCCTCTCTCTCTCGGGTCCACCCACACACCTGCCGTGTCCCTTTGACGCTCTTCCCCAAACCTCACCCCCACGTACTCAAGCACTCCCACCTGAATGGACTCTCCCTCCCCACCGTACGCTCACACCGTACCCCCTTGCCCTCACTCCTCCCATCGTCCTCTGCAGCCAATTCTATTTGCTTTTGTTAATCTTTGAGTCGATGTCGATATTAACAGGAAGTGACAACTGGCCAGTGTTAAGCGAACGTTTCTTCGTGTTATACCCCCACGTGGTCAGTCATGAAATTAGATCGGCTCTGTACACTAACCGCTGCTCTGTATCGTGTTGCGATGCTGCCGTGAACTCACGTGAACACATGACAGAGCCATTTGTTCAGTGTGAACATTTCCTTAAAACAGACCCTGCTTAGAGTCACTTCAAATATTTCTCATCGGCACAAGGATCCGCCAATTCAAGTTCGGTTCACTGACCTAATCAATTGCATGAATCCATATTTGCAGGAACATAGATTGTGTATTGAGATGGTGAGACAGGGCACCCTGACTGCCCTTGGCTGCATGGGCAGCACGTTATCATCTCCCGGTGACCAATCTCGTTTTCGATCCTTGTCCTTGCACCCCTCCACTGGAACAAACTTCCCCTGAACATGAAGCAGCCCTCCTCCTTTCCCTTCCTCTTCTCTCGCCCCTCCACTCCTTCCCGTCCCTCCCCTGCCCTCTCGTGACCCCCACGTGCCCTCTGATGTGGTCACACATTCCTCCGTCCTTGCACTGCCCCTGCCATCTAAATAACTCTATTATTGTTACCACGTATTAAACTATGTTGTAGAGCGCCTTAACTCAAGGCTCCACACCACGGGAAGCTAAGATGGGGGTCTCCGTGCGTATCCGCTGGGTGCATGGTATCAGCGGTTCAGAGAACCCCACGCTACAACCGATGCATATCTACACATGCAAACTCTTGTGGGCTGACACCAGGGGGAAATGGGAGCCACTCTCTTCAGAGTGAGCGGCGCAGCTTGCAAGGAGGTTTTTTGTGCAAAGAGAATGCTGACGAGTACCATTCCTCCTCGTGCCTGTCAATCGCGTGCACAGGATTGCAAATGGCACTGGCAGGTGTTAAAATCCACGTGACAAAGCGAGCTGAGCGCGAGCTGTCTTTTCGCTTTTCACTTGCAAGCCTTGCCATGATACGTCGCTCCACGCTCCGAGGGCAATGCACAGCGGTGTTGTTCGTAAGTGAACCGAGCAGATCTCCCTCACCAGGGGAACGCGAGAGAAGAAGTCGGCTCCTGCACTGACGGTCGCCACTTTACCGAATTTGGAGTTCACAATAAACTGAAGGTGTCATGGCCACGAACTTGGTTCCCTCGAGTCACTGCCAAAGTCTACGTCAAGGGGAACCCCGAAGGCTTCATGTCAGACGGCCCACGCCCACATGAGGCCCGGCACTTGGAAAGGACCCAAAAACTCGATTTTATTGTCCACGCAAAGCATTTTAGCCACACTAATCGGGTACCAGAGGGGGGTATTATCGACCTGGCAGCATTGCTGCATTTCTAATGTTAACGCCAAGCTCAGTCACTCCTCTTTATATTCGGTCAGCAAACACATTACTTTTGGCGTGAGGATTGGATATTCTGGGTGTGTGCGTGTTGACGTGTGGTGGCACACCAAAGGGTTCAGAAAGTCCTTTTTGGCTCTGGGGAAGGAAAGGCTTCCCCACCCATTTCAAAAGCACCGAGTTCTACTCTGCGTCCCTCGTATTAACATAAACCAGAACCGCAAAATTACAGTGCTAAAATACACGGGAAAGACGCAATGATGTGGGTCATGTTGTAAGGGCTGAATTGGGGGCCTTCTGTCTAATTTCCCTCTTCGTAGGTCGGTGCCTGGGCCCCTCCAGCCCGTGGGTCCCGGTGGTGCAGTCCCACCGCCTGCACACTCAAGAGAACTATGCCACTGGATCGACTAAGTGTAGCATTTAGAAACTTGACTTAAAGCTTTCGTGACTGCAGGAATTAATATTCTTTAGGTCTTTCGGTAAAGTCACGTAGATAGGTTAAAAGAAAATAAGCAACACAAGCGGTCGTCATCAGCTCCGTAGCGCTCTGACATCCTGTTTGTGGACAGCGGTCACCATCCAAGCACAATCCAAGCTCAAACCTGCTTATCTTGCGTGAGCTGTGTCAAGGCCGGGTGTGTTGTGGGTGAATTAGCCAAAGCCTGTGCGAGCGAGCGAGTGAGCGATCGAGTGAGTGAGGATGTGTCTTCTTGCCTGGAAGCCCGGGAGGGCCGGGAGGGCCCTGCTGGCTGATCCCAGGGGATCCCCTCTCTCCCTTGTCTCCAGGCAAACCTGCAAGCACGAGGCCACGGTGAGCGGAGGCAGCCGTGCGGCGACACAAAACCCACGCGCACCTAAACTGGTCCCCGAATACGAATTGTGTTGGTGATGCTGCTGCATTTGGCAGTGGTGCACAAGCACAATTTGAAGAAAAAAAAACTCAGAACATTTGTCAAAAACACTTTGGGGTCTTCAAAAAATTCTATATACGAAAGGCGACATTTCGGGTAATGGCCCTTCTTCAGAGCACATCAATAGGCAGACCCGTAAACACAGACAGACGAGCATCAGGCACATTACATAGAACAACAACCGCCACTCGCCACTAACTGATGGCGACTTCACCGCAGCAATCGTGCCAGACTAGGTGCGTGTACTGCGCTTGAGTGTGAAGTCCTCACCCCTCTCTCCGGAGGAGCCTCCCATGCCGGGCTCCCCCGGGAAGCCTGGGCGGCCCTGGCTGCCGGGTTCTCCTGGGGGCCCTTGGGAGCCTGAATTGCCGGGGGGTCCCGGGGGCCCCCTCACCTCACGAGCCGGATAGTTGTTGTTGGGGGCTTGCTGGATCAGGTTTGTGTAGCGGTGCATTTGGGCTGCGGAGCATGAACACAACACATACACACACACGTAACACGATCAAAGACGAAGACAAATATCTCCCCTATAGCCTTGACAGACTGTTGGGGCAAGTGCTGTTCGTGAGCACTTATGAAGGACGGCACGGTACACGAGGGGGTGGGTGGCCAGCACCACGCCCGACCGCCTTTGTCTCCCCAATGGCGATGTTTACACACCGCACCGGGTACTAATTTGAGGTTGAGTCGACCTACAATTGTGACTGGTGTTGGCCGTGAATGGGAATGGAACTCGGGTCGCCGGATTCGTTGCGCAGCGCGTTAACCGTTGCATTACCGCTCCCCAACAACCACACACACAATGACAATTAGGACAGAGTTCTGCCTGTTTAAGCTTGTAAACTGTCGAAAAAAAGTGCTGTTAGCGAATGCCTATTTGGGCCAGCTCAGTACGAGAGGGTGAGGTGTGGCCAGCACCACATCTGGCTGTCTTTGCTTTCACCAGTTCTGATATTAACATGCTGCACCATGTCACTAATTTTATCATGAGTCTGCACTAAGGAGAGTCGAGCGTACATTGAGATACCAATTGCCAGCGGTGGTCTGAATAGCTGGAAAGTCAGGAATTGATCTTGGGTCACTGGTAGCAAAGCAGAGGTGTGACACTCATCTCCATTGGCAGCCCCGACTCATTGAGACGCCATGGTGGTGAGATGTCAACTACCTCGCCTGGTATACAGGAGGTCGTGGGTTTTATCCCGACCCCTGACACTTGCATATTTGGAGTTTGCGTGTTCTCCCCGTGGTTTCGTGTATTTTTCTCCAGATCCTCCTGTTTTCCCCTCCAAATTTAGAATCAACGTGTGTTTTAGAGTATTTTGATGCTATACATTTCCATGTGGTAAGTCACATCGTTGAGTTATCATTTGTGGCCGGGTCGCTTCTGAAAAAGAGCTATATAGCTCAGTGGGCCTCACCTGGTAAAATAAAAACAGTTAATAGTTCGTAAAAATTGTTGAAAATTCCACATTCCCATGGCTGGAACCAGACTATCACATAGGACAGTCTTTGTTGGCTGGACTTGCTGAATATAAACTAGTGGCAGTTGTGTTGCAAGAGGGGTTCCCTGAGTTCAGCACAAGGGCTCCTACTACTTACTGGTATCCAGGATGGAACAATCAGGTAATCGCGTAATTATGAGCAATTCCCCAAATTGGCCTAACCATCAGCGCACAGTCCCCTGTTCTTATGCACAATATCATGGGATCTCCGACCTTTATATCTGTGCGTACGTTACGCAAATGTCCACAAACTCGATTCCACACAAACCGCACGGCTTCAGGTGTGCACTCGAGCGTGCGCACAGCAGAGCGTGCTCACATGGAAGTGTGCGAGTTACACTATCACCATCTAAGAACTGGAACAATTTAAAATTAAAACCGCAAGCGGGTGGCCACGGGGTGGCTCAGAGGTCAGAGCGCTGAGCCGACACCGCCGAAAGCCTGGGTTCCATCCAGGCAACTGCTCGTGACAGAACTCAGGTCTCAGGTGCAGTGAGTTGACGGTGTCAACCCAGTCACCAAGGACTGTACAAAAAGCATCACAAGTTTGGTGCTGACCTACTGTGCTGGGAATCAAAAGAACGTTGGTTTTCACCATCGTGGGTTATTACACCACTCTGGATGCTTTGTATCGTGACCTGACGTCAATCGCACAATCCGGGGAACACACCGTGAAAAGGACAAATCCCCGACGCTCTGCCTGATTGGCCATAATGAAGGAGGAGCTCGCTAACAGAGGCTGCACAACGTGCCCCCTGCAGCTCTTTAGATAAACTAAAACTAAACTTTTTTTTTATCATGTAAGGCCACTAAGCCTATTCAGCTCTTTTTCAGAAGCGACCTGGCCACGAATGACAGCTCATCCAAGTGGCTTGTCTAGTGGGAATGTATAGCAGACACATTCTCTAAAAGCATGTTGAGCACGCGCTTGCATCTGCCTACTTCTGGTTTTGTGCCCACAGAGCGCCTCCTCTGGATTAAACGCAAAGACTCACAGCGACTTCTGTGCAGTAACTGGTGGCACGGCCGAACCCATCAAACCATCACGTGTGACACTGCACATCAACACGTCGCACACAAAAGCCAATGTAATTCGTTTTTCAAGCGGGAGGACCTAAGGTTAAAATCTAAAATTGCATGAGACTCTTTACCAGAAAAATGTCACCAAACCTCAAGTCTCTTTTTCAGGAGGGGAGCTGTTTTGAGACGCTTGGCCAATTCCCGGTTAAGTGTCACGCACTGAACGGATGGCCGAGGAGTGCGGAGCTGGGCTGGATTTTATGTCACGGCCATCACTGAGGGCACGCCGAGGTGCGTCACTATCGCACAGCACTCCTCCACACCGAGCCATGGCAGAGCGACGCTCTCGGGCACAGTTGCTCTGTCGTCCTGTACATCGGCAACTTGTGGAACAGGCTTAACGTGAGAACACATGGAGATGTCCACCATGGGTCACCGCAACTGATGAGACGTGACAATGTGGGGAAAATTAGTGCCAGAGATGATGGATCTAAATTTGGTTGGGGAGTAGAGAGGTGGAAGCGTTGGTTCGTTGCTGACATCGCTGTCCCGTTAGATCGGATGTGTGCACGTGGTGCAGTCGAGTAGAGGAATTGCTGGAGGCACTTACAGCTGATCAGCTGTTCGCACACCTGTCTGGCCACGGACCGAATCATGTTCTGGGACATCGGATCCCCCTGTTTCCACAGCACACAAACAGCATGGCACAGCACGTGGTACGAGAACTTCAGCATTAAACCAAACACAGTGGCAACTAAACAAATAAAAACCCGGTGGACAGAGCACAGCACATGCAACATGATTATACAAAAAAACATGCCCCGTGTTTTGAAGAGCTATGATTGTCGGTTATGAGTGGCTGATACACATCTTAATGCTGTTATAGAAGGACCAGAGAGCTGACATTTGGTACAGAAGTAGAAGAGTATTTGATTGTATTGTTGATTGTTGCTTTGGGCTCACTCAAAATTGGGGGTGGGCGGCAAAATAACAGTCAACTTTCTCAAGCCTAGGCCTACATAGGTTTGTTTTGAGAGGTTTAGATCAGTGCTCTCTTCAACTCGGGCATTATTCAAATTCGAAAACGAATCCAATTGGCATTGCCATCAAATATGGGGGAAGCTACAAACGTCAATCATTTTGTTTATGAATGCCGGGTTTATATCTGGAGGTGTTGAAGGGTACTGAACCCAAATATAAAATCTGATTTCTGATAACTCAATGCAGTCTGTCCTCCTCGAACATGGGTTTTCACAACGCGAATTGGCAGTGGTGCACAAGCACAATATAACACGATGAATGTATCAGGAAACACATTTTATAAAGCGGATGCAAATTTGATATACCGCAAATTGAGTGAACAGAACTACGTCACACGAGTAGGAATAAGCGATCGTACGGCTGCCTCGGCGTAGCATCACACAAGGCGGGATGCTGCTGGATGCTTCTAGATGCTACCCACGTGCCTGAGTCTTTGTTCGGCCTCCATACGTATCTCACGTGTTATCGCAGACTGTGCTTTACCCTAACGCGATTTTTCCATCACGTGGTGTTCTTCAGGGGAACCAACTGTTACTTAAAAAAAAGTGTGCCATTAACACCGACAGAAAGCAGACGAATCCGCTGACCGGTTACGAGTTCGTAATTAAAATGGACGTAGGAGAGGTGTGAGGAATTGCAATGGCAGCAGCAGCCTTCACGAGGTGTGGACCCAACGAGACACCGACCCTCGGGCGAGGGAGGCTTGGGAAATGAATCGAGCTGAGCAATTATTTCGATAAGATCTAAACCTTCACAAACTGCTGTTCGACAGACTGCATTTTTAAATTCGTCGTTGCGGTTTATTTTTTTTTTATAAATGTGTAACCATCACAACTGGTTTCCTTCACAAAGGGATCAGAGGACAAAGCCCTTTGGTCTCGTGTGGCAAATGATATGAACTCACCTTGTCTCCTTTCTCACCTCTCGAGCCCAGCAAACCCTGCATCAGCACGGCAGATCATTCGCAGTCATTGCAGTACACGGTACACGTGTGTTGTCCATGTGTACATGCGTACAGGGCATGTGTACATGTGTATGTGTATACAGGGAGTCGGGAGCGGTGGTGTAGCGATTAGCACGCTGAGCCACCTGAGTTTGATTCCCGCTCACGGCCAACGCCAGTGATGATTATCTGAACCAGTCCTGTACCTCCCCTAGGTCGACTCAGCCTCAAATGAGTGCCTGGTGTGATGTCTAAACATCGCCACGGGGGAGACTTTGGCGCGCCAGGCGTGGTGCTGGCCACCCTGTCTCTCGTGTGCTGTAGGTCCTCGCTAACGGCACTTGACCGAACAGTCTGTTTGTGCGAGCCAACTTAAGCTGCAGGAAATTTATTACTCAACACTGATTTATGTTTGCGCAATGTTTTAAATTGTCCTTGTGATGACGAAGTTGTTTTTGCTCTCACTTCTCTTTGGTCGGTTGCTCTACTTTAGTTTAGTTTGTTTTGCTTTTGCCATTGTGGTGACCCAGGTTGATCTTGCAAATGAGAGACTCCTATCCTGGTCCCTCGAGCTCTCACAGCTGGTTACACAAAATTAACTTTAGATTTGACTTTACTTACGTGTACTAGGGATCAGTTTCAGATCAGACATGAGATTTTTTTAAAAGTACAATTTCATATTATAGGCCATGTTTTCGGTAATGCGCTAAATGTAATAATTTAAAAGATTTTAATAATTTAGATTTTAAACAAATAATAACATAAAGTTGCATCAGTAGAACAACATTTTGAATGGAAGTATTTTAACACATTCATGATTTCAACAAAAGTGACGTCGCAGGTCGTCAAAAATGTCACTACGGCATTACTCCACTGGATGGGACGCAAGCAAGGGCATGGAAGTTACGTCACACGTTTGGATCGATCTGAAGCAATTTATTCTTCCAGATCTTCTGAAATTTTGCAACGAGAACTGATCTTTTAGATTTTTCAGACTGATCCGAATATTGGGAGCCCCTCCCTCGTGTGTAACTGTGCCCACGTGCAGAGCTAGGCACAGTAAACTGTGATCCGCTGGCACTGGACAATGCTTAGCGGAGGTGGTGGATAAAAACTGGCCATGAAAGGACTAAAATGTTACTTTATTGCAAAGTGATGAACCGGACTCTCGTCTTCACGTATTCATTTCTGTAAATGTACACGTGCGGCGTGTCACTGTGTAAGTGAATGCCTGTATGTGTACACAGATGCACGCGTGCGCGTATTCATGTGCGTGTGAGTGGGTTTGCCTGCATCGTGATGCGCGCGTCTGCCTCCAGCAACAAAAGGAGGCGGAAAAACAACGCAGACAAGAGGCAGTCAGGCAGCTCACACAGAGAAATGGTGGACAGAGGGGGGGGGCCTTGCTTGACATTCCGAGTTAATGTCTGCTGACTGTCTGACAGGCACCATTACAAACTTTTTTTGTTAACTTCTCGCAAATTTTGTCCGCTATGAGTGTCACGTCATGAGATCAGAGCTGTCTGGCTCAAATTAAGACCTGAAATTAAAACCGTGGAAATATTTAAATACTCGGGACACCAATGAATGTAGGCCTCATCTCCCCTCGACAGTCCTGATTATAGGACAACTTCAGTTTCCCATCGGCCAATCAAATGTTCAGCGAGAAATGAGACCCAGGCGATGATAACCGGAGGAGCACGCGTGGCGACCACGTCGGTACCGCCGCTCTCTTACCTGCAGCCCCCGGTTGCCACGCGTGCCTGGGGCCCCCACGTCACCCTGTGGCCCCGGTGACCCGGGCTGCCCCTGTTCTCACACAACGGAGTGACGGGTCAGGAAGCACACCGGGCGCACAGCTCCACGCGCAGCATGAACACCCGCACAGCGTTCGTCTCGCAAGCGCCCACCTCAAACAAAAACGCTGTAACGCTGATTACGGTTGCCCTCAACACGGTGTGATATCGAATTTTCCGAAGCGATGATTATCATCATATTTGTTTCTTGTAACTTTGTAGATGCACTTTGCATTTTATTCATCAATATTGTTTTTTGTTCTTCGCTGTATTTCCCGTTTGAACAAAGATGACTTAAACATTCTGCAGCTGCAGTTCACTCGGCATAATCACACAAAACGTCTAAGCATTGCAGATTTACAATCGATAACACTCACAATGGTGTCAGTGACACGATATATAATTAAACAATTCAATGGCATATGAACAGGCCGGAAATTACTCCAGTAAACCTTTTGCAGAGCACTAATGGGTAAAGGTGCAACCCTGATATTGCTCTCTCGTGCCACTGCTTGCAGAAGAGGCCTCCAATAGAGGGAGCACTCGAGAGCCCCTCCAGAGGATTTTTTTTGGCCTACTCTTCCACACTGGCTAGACATCTTAGAAGAAGTAGGGAGTACCCACACTTTACCCCACCACACGCAGCCTGCCGATGGACTGTGGTGAAGCCATTGACACTACTGGGTGGACAGAGGCGGTGGGGAGGGGAGGGGAGATTCAATAAACTTGCCCCATTGTTTCAACCGCCGCACCAGGAGATCCAACCGGCGACCATTGCACTGCGGCAGCATTCCCTGATGTTAACGGGTCTCAAGGATTTTCTCAGATACATAACACTATGTAACACAATTTTTGTTCCTGGGTAGTAAGTGTTATTTATTAATTGCTTATGCCTAAAAAGGATAGAAAATGGCTATTATTCCTCACAAACTTTGCTTTTGTGACCAGGACATTGATATTTTGAAATTTACCTATTTTCAATGAGAAAATGGGCAAATTTGTGTCTTTTCGTTCACATAAAGTCAGAAAAAACAACAACATATGAATCAAAACTAACATGTATTTATACTAAAGTAATACCAAAATTACTACTAAATATTTAGAAGTCAGTAGTTTTTCGAGATTTATGATTATACTGTAATTCACTTTCATGAAGCAGCCCCCAAATGTAGTCTCCCATCATGTTCGTTATACTGTCCTTGGTAGCGGCGTTCAAAGTCCAGTATATCCTGGTGGAAGCGCTCACCTTGCTCCTCCGAGTACACTCCCATGTTCTCCTTGAATTTATCAAGATGAGCATCAAGGATATGGACTTTGAGGGACATCCTACAGCCCATTGTGCCGTAGTTCTTCACCTGTCTCAACCAGCTCCACATAGTTTTTGACCTTGTGATTGCCCAGGAAGCCACAAACCACTGCGACAAAGCTGTTCCGAGCCGCTTCCTCCTTACTAGTGAGCTTCTTGGGGAATTCATTGCACTCCAGGATCTTCTTTATCTGTGGTCCGACGAAGACACAGGCTTTGACCTTTGCTCAGACAGCTTAGGGAAGAAGTCTTGAAGGTACTTGAAGGCTGCCGACTCCTTATCTACAGCTCTGACAAATTGTTTCATAAGGCCCATCTTGCTAAATTCAAGGAGAACATGGGAGTGTACTCGGAGGAGCAAGGCGAGCGCTTCCACCAGGATATACTGGACTTTGAACGCCGCTACCGAGGACAGTATAACGAGAACATGATGGGAGACTACATTTGGAGGCTGATTCGTGAAAGTGAATTACAGTATAATCGTAAATCTCGAAAAACTGACTTCTAAATCTTTTGTAGTAATTTTTATATTACTTTAGTATAAATCCATGTTAATTTTGATTCATATGTTTTTTCTGTCTTTATGTGAACACTAAGATATAATTTTGACCGTTTTCTTATTGAAAATAGGTAAATATCAAAATATCACTGTCCTAGTCACAAAAGCAAAGTTTGTGGGGAATAATAGCCATTTTCTATACTTTTTAGGCATACGCAATTCAGAAATAACACTTACTACCCAGGAACAAAAATTGTGTTACATAGCGTTATCAAAGTTTGGCAGTACACTAATCCCTCGCCACTTCGCGGTTCAAGTTTCGCGGCCTCAATGCATCGCGAATTTTTCGAATTGATTTAAAGGTCTCATTATACCTGTGCAGTAACACCATCATCATCATCCATCATCACATTCATCGAACTGCACAGGTCTGTCATCGTCGTCATTGTCATTGTCATCGTCGTCGTCGTCATTACTGGAGTCAAGTCTCAAGATACTACTGTCATTGGTGAGTGTAGAACACCATAATACGTATCGCATGAGAGAGAGAGAGAGTGAATGTATAATATTAAGGTTTTATAATTAAATAGATTTAAGTAAAATATATATATATAAAGTATAAATATACATATTTTAAACATTCTGGTACCCACACACACATATACGGAAATTCCTAGGGGGCCAATCCTACTTCGCGGATTTTCACCTATCGCGAGGGGTTCCGGTCCCCATTAACCGCGATAAACGAGGGATCACTGTACTCCACAATGTATCCTTGCTGTAGCTCTATGCCTCTCCCTCCGAGGCTGCAGCACGCCTCTTTCACACGTCCGCCACCACGCACATAATATCCAGGAGATGGTGATGGACCACAATGGTGCCCGTTTATTCTCGACCCCAACAAGACCGGTAACGTGATCACACGAGGCCACGACTCGGTCCGCAGATGCGGCTTGCCTCCTTCCCCGCTCCGTCTCCCGTGCCCCACGCGGCTCTGAGGCCGTGAGCCACGCGTCTGCTTACATTGCGTACGGGCCTCAATTACCGCCAATCGGAAAAGCCAATCGCGACCCAGCACTTTGCACGCCCCCGTGGCGCCAACTCCACACAGTATTCTCTGCAGCCATGCGATTACCCGCGCACTCGTCGCTAGGTGGCGCGTTTATACGCACGATTTTATCACAAACATAACCACACCTGTTACACTTTAATGCAGCTGCACACACTGCACAGGCCGCGGGTCATGGAGGAAGGCGGCTTACCATGGGCCCTGGAGGTCCTCTGGGTCCTTGCTCCCCGGTTTTTCCAGGCAGACCCTGCAGCGCACATGCACACACGCGCACGCGCGTAAGGACACAATCGCACAAAGTCCAGTGGCTGGCGAGCTTGCAACTTGTGGTGTGTGGTTTTCCTGTAGTAATTCTATTGGTCCAGTCAATCTAAGTTATTAATGTTGGTGTGAGGGGTGTGAAATAAACCCACTTCACACAAAGTAAAGCCTCTTGTATTCGTTTAGTGTCATGATTATGATGTTTGCATGGCATCAGACTGACACAGCCGTGGTTTGGTGTTGCTTTTGTCTCGTCCAGGTTTGATGCCAGACGTGCATTCGTTCCCTCACCACAGTGACGTCACAGAGGTCACATCGCATTTCGCTGTCATCCGACAGTGATCCACCAATTCTGCTGGTGTCATTGCGCAAGGGGTAACCTTTTCCTTACCCAGGGCCGAAGAAGACCTTCGTTTTCCTTGAGCGGGTTCTATATTAGGTTCTATATTAGTTGACACTCAACGCTCATAACGTCAGGGACCGTTTGCATTGACTGTGTGCTCAGGACTACTCGAAAGACAACAGATGACTGGATGTGCAAAAATTATAAACACAGCATTGAAAGGTAAAACATATTCCCCTCCAGTACCCGATTAGTGCTGTCAAGATGCCTGCAGTTACAGATAATTATCGCTTGTGGTAGTCTTACGTTGTCTCCGGCCCACGTGCCTTATGTTCCGTCCCTGGTGTCACGTGTTAGGTGCGCATTGAGGCATTAATGGTGTTACGTACCGACCGGACATGCGAACGTGTCAGTGTGCGTGCGTGCGCGCGTGCGTTCACCTCACCCTCTGTCCTGCAGGCCCATCCCTGCCCGTCGGACCTTGTAGCCCTTGGGGTCCCTAGGAAATAGGGGACGGAGGGAGGGCATGAAGGGAGGCTGTTATCTTACGCCACGGCCGCCCGCGCTGCGCTCGGTACGGCGAGCGAGACAAATGGTGCAGGCGTACTCACGCTGGGCGGCGGCGCGTCACATCTGCGATGCTAATTGACAGGAAAAATAAGCCCTGCCCAGGAATGGATACCACGGCAAAAAGAAAAGTCTTCCACGCGAGATACACATCGCAAAATAATAATTTCGGTTGGAAACATACAGAACAGGGGGTCAGGCTGCGGAGTGAGGCTGTGCATGTGTCACGCGCCTGCGTCTTCAAGTGTCCAGAACACGTGAAACCGTGCGCAGATTTCCAGCACAGTGCAGAGAGAGATCGCAAACCTACTTGCTGAGCTGTCTCCTGTAGAAACCTCATTGCCCAGCGGGTGGGTGCCCTCACGCCCACGACTGGGCCGATTCAAGCGTTGGTGGAAACTTCCCCCCCTCGACACATTTTTGGCAGAATCACAACCCCCCCCCTCCTCCCCCCGAAACCAGCGGCAATTTGGCCAACTTTTCTGGCAACGTGTGAATGGGGCTCCACGGGCTGCCATCATTGCTTTACTTCCGTCACGCGTTTGTGCCTCGCAAATAAGTTCAGAAAAACCCATAAACAGATCGCCAACGCGGTGTGGTCGATGTGCAAACACATGTGCAAACACATCGACCACATGCAGAGTGATTTAAGCTGCAACTGATGTTCATCTACACTTCTAAACTTTATGATGGCTATTACATCGCTCGTTTCATTTGTCCATCATTGTTTTTTGAAGATAACACGATCATCTATACCCCTGCTTGTCCCGATGAGGACTCGGCAGTTGGGAGAGTCACGCGGTGAAGTCAACCTGGAAGTTAAAAGCACCTAGCCCATCATCTCTATCATGACAATACAATTAGTGCCACGTCTATGGAAAGTCCACAGTGTCCAATGGGGAGAGACTGGCCCTCGTCACAGGCTCAGGGCCATGAATGTAAATGAGAAACACCCGACTTTCCTTACTCTGCGACAACTTCATAACTTTTCACAAATATTTCTCGTGTTTATGTAATGCTGCTGTGACGATTATCCAGGTCACAGGATCGATTTTCTTCGCGCGTCACTTGAAACAACGCTGAAAGTTTCCTAAATCGCCCCCCACCAGCAGCATAAACGGGTTTACCACAGGCAGTGATTCGGCAGGTCGTGTGGTGGGGTAAAGTGTGGGTACTGCCACCTCTATCCACAACACCTGGCTAGAATGGAAGAGTGGGATAAACACCCCGACAGGGGCTTTCTCGAGCTTCCCTCTCGCGGAGACGCTTCCGCCAAGCAGTGGCGTGGGTAAGATATCGCAGGGCAGCACTTTTACGTTACGTATAACAGTTACAGTGAAACGAAGGATGACTCTTAACCTTTTGCAAGCCCACTATATATGTTTTGTATACACGAGTGCATTTGCAAGAGAGGACTCGTGCTCACTCGACAAGAGTGGGGGTTGTGACATAACCAGAACGTGGCAGCTTCTATAAAGACCGACAAGAGGGAGAGAGAAAGAGAGCCAGCCATCACACAGCACAATCTTAACTGCAAAACAAACTTTCAATAAAATGTACCGTTTCAAAGAATGAAAAAAATCCTCAGCCTTGAGGATTTTTTTTCTTCGTACCGAAAAAATGTAAACATTTCAAAAGAATGAAAAAAAATTACAATTTCCATTTGAGCTTCGAGGCGAACACTAGGGGACTGTCGGCTTTGAACCAAGCCAGCGCATTTGGCGAAATAACAATTAAACCCCTTGGGTTTACGAGGCCCACTCCAGCACGGCGGCGACCACCACCGCACCCCTGCCCAGCGGCGCAAAATCCCCAGCAGGCCCGGTGGGCCGTGCGCTCGGCACAACGGCGAGACTAGAAAAATAATCGCAGAGGGAGCACCTGAAGCAGCGCAAGCGTCGCGGGTGTTACAGAAGCAACGCGCTCTGGCACGGACCCCACCCCCACCCACCCCCCCACCACCTCGATCTGCGACCCACTGAGACGAGGACGGAGTAGAGAGTTGACCCGCTGAGTCTTGTGCAACGCGCACCCTCTGAAATGTGTTTCCCGGGATTACTCATTTTTGATGAAGGATTGCACTTTAGTCAGGCATAATGTTGTAAATATTCACAAATTACTTGAGCACATACATCTGAGAAAAGCATTTAGTACCACGTAAAAAAAAGGAAAACAGGTCATAAAAGTGATCTGAGCCAGACGAAAAGAATGCTTCATTAAGCCAACATGTCAGGCAAGAGATGGATGTTTGAAGAACCAAGGTGTCTTCATGTGCATAAATACATTTATAAACACGCAACTATTATAAACTAAACTTTATTTTACCAAGTATGCCCCATTGATCTTTATAGCTCTTTTTCAGAAACGACCTGGCTACAAATGATAGCTCAACGAAGTGGCTTATCACGTGGACATTTATAGCAGCCAAATACTCTAAAACGCTCGTTTATTCTAAATGTGGAGGGAAAAACCGGAGGCCCGGAGAAAAATCCACGCGACCACAGGGAGAACACGCAAACTCCAAATATAGAGGCATGGGGGTGGGGGTCGAACACTTCGCTACTGTGGCGAGATGTGAACTTCCTAGGTTATCACGAGTACGCTCTATTAAACAATCATGCCTTGCATTGTCTCGTGAACTGGTTAAATGTCTGTGAATAGTCTCCAGCGTCGCGCAGCAGCAGTCAGTTCAAGGCTGATGGACCGCCGGCCGCGAGATCCAAATCTCGCCGTCGTCTTTTCACGTGGGTTTTCTTCCACGTGAAATCACTCATCAATTGGCCAATAACACCTTTGTACATATGTAGAGGACCGCAGAGCTTGTGGGGAGATATGGTGCCGGCTTACCACGTGGCTGCCTCCCCACTCCTCTTTGGTGACTCCTCAAACCTCCGAGTCATTATCTCTCTAATTGACCGTGAGCGGATACCGTGCGGTTTCGTGATAGAAGTTTAAATGATTATTTTCATTATTATTTGAACTGTTGTGAGAACTTGCCAGTGTAGCGTGCCGCCGTACACCACCGGTGCATTTTCACCACTGCACGATGTGATGGCTGGACACTGCAAGGCGCCCGAGTTCCTGCACTTAAATTCAGGGCAGCCAATTAAACTCTTGCTTTCAGCGAGTTTGACGATTTCAGCTGGGTGACTTCATATTACCCTGCAGGCTCTGTGAAATATTTAAAAAAATAAACAACGTCTGAAATTCTCACTCATCCTCGTAGCCATAGGCTCTTCTAGTCTATGCGACGGAGAGCCTTGAAGGATGATAACAGAAAGCCAGTGATCCTCCACATGATTCTCTTAATGAGACTCTTAGTTTTGTTGTCTTAGGAAATGTCTTTGCCCTTTATCAATCAACTGCTGGATGAAAGCCTCCCCGTGGATTTTTTGTGCGTTTATTATCAAGGCAGCTATTAATTCATAACAGGCTGGGCAGTTCGGGTTTTGTGTATTTAGGTGCAGGATTGTGCTGTGTTGCTTGCATGTAAAGGGCAACACTCATTCCAATCCGTAAATGACGAGACAATCCATCCCAACAGAAAAACGAGTGCTGACCAGAAAACAAGTAGATTTAACAACACACACACAGGCGTGCAGCATCGCATGCACAGTAACTCTCAACCTTACCCGTACCACCAGTACCTGAATGTGTGGCCGTGCTGTCTTTTAGAATTACCGACTCAAAGAGTTAAGGCAGCTGTGACAAAAAGACACAACTATAGGTCGGTTTTGTCATTATTAGAACTCATCAGTACAGGGGAGCCATCAATGTTTGCTTCTCAATGCAATGCATATTATGCACATCAAGGCTTAACAATCGATACTAATGGGGCATCACCACGATGCTATGCGCGAGTGTGCATATAACAAACCACCTCTCATCACAAGGTGCATTATTGTCCATATTCCTGTTTCCAGTGTAAATAATAAACTGACAGGTAATGCTCCCCCCCCCCCCCTCGTGTGTTGGCAGGCCTGGCCCAAGCTTGTGCAGATGAAAGAACAAAATAACTGGGAATAATATCCCCTGAGTGTGCAGAGCCGGCAGGTGTGCTGGCAACTTCTCTTTAAAAACTCGGTTAGACCCCGGCCTCTGGAAATTTTAAAATGCAAAATGAGACGCGTTGGTTTTAAAACTGGGTTACAAAGAGTTACGGTTGTGTTATTTTTTGGACCAACAGAAGCGACGGCAAAAAATATCTGAAAACGCAAACGGCGTGAGCTTGTAAACCGGGAGCCAAGGCATGGGGCTGTGCCACTCTCTGTGGCTGCGCCAGGCGGTATGGCCTGGCCCACGCCGGTGTTTGTTTTGAACCAACTCCCGCGTCACCACGTCCCCGCGTCTCCATCCCTCGCGGTCCCCACAATCGCCCCCCGCACATTCCACTCTCCTACGCGCGCTTGCGTCCATCGCTACGCACGACTCTCCGCGAGCGACTAATTCACGATCGCACGTACGTAGTGAATGGCAGGATGCGGTGGTGGCATGCTCGTAACATAGTGGTTTGGGAGTGGGGTTGGTGGGTCACACAGAGATGAGAGGCATCCTGTGCATGACAAATCAAACTGCAAAGCAATGAGTTGTTCGTTAAAGGGAGGTATGACTCTGGCCTATAAACCTGACGAACCCTTTTTTTTTCCACCTCAAGAGCGAAAGAGTGATAAACTCACTGAGAACAACTTTAGAACTTGGTGAAAATGAACGTTCACTTTTTTAACATCGCAAACTTCATATCGGGGCCTGTATTTAAACACCACCGATCCCATCGCATAACCACGAACTCTCCATACTCTTTGGTTCTTTGGGTAAAGTCACGTAGGTAGAAAAATAAAATAAAACAAAAAATAATATATCATGACATTTCGATCGCAACACAAGCGGTCGTCCTCAGGCGGAAAAAATAATCCAGCAGTGGAACTGCTGAAC